GACAGCCCGCCACCACGGCGGAGTAGGAGTCGCTCTGATAGTCGGAGGGGCCGGCGGCGGTAGCTTCTTGGAGGGTGCTACTGTGAATATGATTTAGTAGTCTAATTCTGGAGTTCAGGCCGCTGACTGTGTGAATTCCATTTTCACCATGAGAGCACATATAGAAGTCTAGTGATTGTGGAGCGGTTGGCAGCTTCTTACTTGTATCATCCAAATTGGCAGGTTCCTTAAGATTCCTCAAGATTCCATGAGATCTGGTAGCTCATGAAGCCCTGCGATGTGTATTCCACATGCGGTCTGTATTCCATGCAGTGGTCGAAATCTGGAGAATGGCTGAGAGGAGGCAAAGAACTTGCGGGGTAAAGAGGCGAACTCCACGAGTCACAGACATTGGCATGTGTTCTTGGTATCCCGAGGGCCAAAACGACCGATCAGTGAGATGACTGCCAGTTTGGCCGATCGGCCGTGCTTGTGGGTCAAATGCAGGCTGGTCCCATGGCGTCTTTGGGATAGAGAGAGAGAGAGAGAGATGATGATGATGATGATGATGATGTTAGTGAGAACCTCTTGGAACCCCCACCCCATAGACTATAGAGCGGACCACCAAGTTCTTTTCACTTATAGAATCTTATACCAATGACCAAAACCTTCCAAAACAGGTGGTTTTTGGATACCTCTTAACCTCCAAGAGGCTATATATAGACGCCTCTTGGAAGGTCCTGGTGGAAGACGATAGAATGTGGGAAAACACGTCGTCAGCCCGTGGTGGGGGGGGGATCTGTGGAGGTGTCAACAGGTAACAGTAGCCACAAGGGGTTGTTAATGGACAACCCTTAACCTCTAAGGAGCTATCAGTAGAACCCCCTTTAACAGGGTCCCGGTCAGGTGTATACAGTGAGCAGTACCTAGTGACTCCGTATAGAAACGTCGTGACACTGATGGAGAGCTGAACTACTTCTCTCTGCCTCCGGCTCAGTGGCTCGGCGGATGCTCGCGGCTCGGTGGGCGTCCGAAAAAGACAGCGGCTGGTCACTCAAACTGGTCCGATCCAGTGAGGCAAACTTGTACATTGATCATTGGGATGGTGGTAGCAGTTGATCAGTCTGATGTAGGCATTGTGCAGGGAGTGCTTGAGAGTCTGTGCATTGTGCATCATGAAGTGCCAAGCTTTTCATGGTGTTGGTTTCAGGAATGACAGATTTGGCCTGTGCCAAGAGCCTCCTTGACTCATTGCAATGCTTGCTTGGAAAAGTCTCGCTTTCACCCGTTCGTTTTTGAATCGATGCGTTCATGACCCTGGTTGACTAAGACATCTCACGGCTGACTTCAACATGTGTTACGTTTTACGAAGGTGAGGTAACCCTTGCAAAACCTGGCCACATCGGCTCCTATCCAGGTCTTGACTTCTGTTTTAATGAGACTTCACTAATGTTTGATGACATTCTTCAATAATGCTCTGAAGATGAGCCGACACAAGAGGGCCCAAAGCGTAACGCGTCACCCGCAGCTTGGCTCAGCTTCTGCGGCCGAAAAGCGCTTTCCACCCGCCTCACCGTGTGGATTCTGCTCTCGCTTCTTGGAGAGGAGGAGCTGGATTTGTTGGATTTGGACGCCCAAATGCTCCAGGGATGTCAAGAGGGCCCACACTCACCGCCCAGTTCACCTCACCACCCAAGACTGACTATGGGCCGTAATATCCGGAAAAAGTGTGTGTGTGTGTGTGTGTGTGTGCAAGGCATGAAGTATTTATCCACTTGATTCGTTGCGCTCATTTTGTGGAAACTGTAAACTTGGACTGACTTTTAAGATGATCCTGGAGCCGCAAGAGTCTTCAGAATCCTGAGGATGACAAAATGGAACCGTATTGAACGCAAGTTATTGTACCTTTACCTTTCAGTAGTCCTTTATGTGCTTGTTCCTCACCCCCGGTTCCAGTCCAATTCTGACGCTCACCGATCAGAAGGATGGCCGCCCCGACTTACCACTGAGGCTTTGAAGGATGGCATCCCAGGGAGCTACCTTGCAGCTACTTGACCTGAAAACCTGGGCATTGGAGCTCTGTTCCCCAACACATACAAGCACCTCGGGTGTCCATCGGCCCTTAGAGGTCAAGGGGTGTCCATTAACCACCCTGACCGTGGGTCCTGGTATTGTTTTGTTGTTTCTGTTGGATGTGTGTTGTTTTCATTAGTTGCCAGATGAGGGTTGTTATGTTTTGTGTCTTTTTGTTCCGTTGGGTATGTTTTTCCTTGGGCAAAGGGCTGTTGAAACGCCCTCTGGGTCTTCGTGTGCGTGACGCTGGATATCTAATGACAATGTAGCATGAAACCCGAAATCCCGGACTGAAAAAACGCTGTCAAGGTGAGGAAGAACATGCCGAAACCCGAATGCCCTTCTGACCTGGTTTCACCAGAACTGGTCGTCCTTTTGGGTTCACCGGTTCACCTGTCGCCTTTCTCGCTCGTTCCCGAAACACAGGAACTACAACAACGAGCTCGTGAAGTCCATCGAAGACCTTCGTGAGAAGAGGGAGGAACTGAATCGCCAGATCCTCAAGGACCGAAGCCATCAGACCGGCCCGGCCCATCGCGACGATGGGCGAATGGGCGAGCCTTCCACACGATGAAAGCGAGACTCCACCCCCCCCCCCCCCCCCCCCCCCCTATAAGAATATAGCTTGGATCCTGTTTCAGGGTCCAATTCCAGGCAAAAACCGTGGAACAAGATACTCTTCATGGAGAAAATCCTGCATCAATCTGCATCACTAGACACATGTGGTCCTCCAGTATAGTGCAACCCCCCCGTGCCCACCAACTCAATGTTGTTTTATCCTTGCTATGTGTGACACAGGATTTTGGTCATTCAAGTTCTTTTTGTCTGCATTTTCTCAAGTCAATGTTAAAGAAGGAGAGCGAGGGTATACATGTTTTTTTCCTCCAGTCGTGCAGGATTTTGTCCATCAACCGTAGGGCTGAGAGATCCGCGGATCTTAAAAAGACAACACCATTCGTTCTTGGTGGAACTATACACCCACCAAGAAAATAGTCGCAGATGTCGCACATCAAGTTCAAGTTGCAACAGTGCTTTAGATTTTAGATGTGTTTCTCTTTTGGCAGGCTGATCAATTTTTGGTTGAGCCGGATATCGAGTCAAGGGGACTGTTCTTGTGTGCTCGGGTTCTCTCTTTTTCTCTGCGCTTGGGTGCAGGAAGAAGAAGACAAGGCAAAAATTCAGAAGGAACTCTCCATCCTCACCGATCGTCTTCAGAAGGCCTGGAGTCCTGTTTCAAACACTCCAAAGGGACTGGAGTCCTATGCCTAGTTACATTGATCCCTATTCCGCCACCCCGATCGGCAAATAGGTCGTACATGGAGTGGTTGGGTTTTGCTTCATCAACACACAAGAGGATGCAACCTGAACGCAACTTGCTTAGGCTTTGCTTTGGAGCATTCCTTAAGGTTCTTCCAGCCTCCCCCTAAACCTGACCTTGTGAAGTCCTTTGAAGGGTGGTCTTGGTGGTTCTTTGACCACCTGCATTCCATATGCTAATACAGGATGTTAAATGATTTGGATTTCTTTGGATTTAGTGGGAGCCGGGATCCTGTGAATTCCCTGTGGTTGGGAATCCAAGCTAGGACCCCAGGTGAGTGGGAATCGGGTTTGGGCTCGTCCTGCACCACAGTGTGGATCGCAAGCATCAAATCATTGGTCATATACCAGGACCTACCGAAGAGGTGTCTATAAATAACCTTTTAAGAAGGTTAAGAGGTGTCCAAAAACCCACCTGTTTTGGCTTGTTTCAATGCTTGTTTCAGTTTGTTTGGAAGGTCCGACCCCGTTCGGACGCTCCAGGTGAATGAGAGCTTGGTCCGTAAGACGCAAGCTCGCAACGAGTACGACAAGACCATCCAAGAGACTGAGGCGACGAGCCGCGTGGGTGGGACGGAGAGTTTGAGAGGTAGACTCTTGATTACACTCTGGTAGACTAACATGGACCCTGAAAACCACTGGTTGGTAGAGGAAAAACCATCTCCCAGAGGGTCATTGTCAGGGTCTATGTTAGTTTTCGGGAGTGTATACGTAATAACTCTCCACAGTCAGAATTGGACATCTTCTTCATATGGGGGTTTAATGGGGTTTATGAATCAAGAGTCTACATGCGTCGTGGTGACCCTTGGGGCGGAGAGTTTTTTTGAGGCAGCGGAGGTTTACCAAGGGTGAGCGGTTTGAAGTACACTCCCTGTCATGGAAGTTCCACCAAGGAGTTCCATGAGAACTCCACGGAGCGCCAATAGCTGCCGGAAGACGGTGGCCGGGAGGTTTTGGGATGGGTTTCGAACTTCCAACAAAAGCTGCCAGTTCGCCTACAATGGTATAGGAATTGGTAGGACACTGACACTCAAAACAGAAAGCCTTCCCAACGCCCCCCTTGAATCTTGAAGCCACTCAGAACATGACCGTCACATTGAACATCCTGGAGGATGCTTTCGAACCTGCACGTTGAACAGAAGTCGCCAGATTCACATTCAAAGTGATGATCTGGCATGAAGGGGTATGTTTACTTCAGGGGATTTGGGCCAAAGCTTGCTCATGTGTACACATCAGTGTTACATCAACACTTTATGTTGGAATTGGCATTGTGGTTTGTTTGTTGTGTCATTAGAAGGCCGATCTGCAAATCAATCTTCTTTGGGTACAGTGTTTTTCTTTTTTTTGCACGTCCATTATGTGCACCATGTGCAGTCTCAGGACAAGTATTGGCATCAAAACTGCTTGCTTACCTCGGATGGAGGTGCTACAGAGAGTTCCCTACACGTCTTTAGATGGTGCTCATTCCCCCCCCGAAAGGACATGTTGTTGAGCCATCTTTCTTGTATCGGTCGGCCGGGCCAGGCTGCCTACATGAAGATCCTGGAGTCCTCCCAGACCCTGCTTCACGTGCTCAAGCGCGAGACGGCACCTTGTCATAATATACAATTATACACTGGCCAGACCCTGTGGGGGGGGTGTGGATCTCCAAATTCACAGTTTCGTGAAGATGCGGCACCTTGTGATATACATGCATATATATATATATATATTCCCTATTGCACGGCAGTCAGTTCATGAAAAGTGTTGGTGTCGCATAAAGATCCTGAAGCACTGGTCTACTAGTCTACCTTGGCCTGTTCGAGAGTCGAACTTAAGTCAAGGGTAGTGTTTGGACGGATGGTGTCCGGGTGTCTGAAGAACGTCTCACACACGGCAGACACCCCGAATGCCAACGAACCTTCCATGGATGGTTTCTCCATCCTTTAGAAGGTGTTTTCGATGTCCATGCTTCAATATCCCCTCCAAGTTGCAGAACACAAGATGCTGGTGAGTGAAAGTTGCATCTTGCGACTGCCCCAATGCCACTCTCCGGTTGGCTAGGCACACTCACTCGACCGAGTACCGTGTTCCAGTGCATTCGCCTGAGTGAGGTGAACCTCACCAAGAAGAAGCAAGGTTCGGACTGAGGCCACCGGATCCTCAAAAGGGCAGGGTGCTGGATTCTCTCGTGGTGAGATGGTGAATTTTTTAGAATCTCGTGGTTTTTTAAGCTTCTTCCTTGGTGGCACCCTCAGCGTCCTTCAAGATGAAGCAGGCTGAACATTCCACAAAAGGAGCTGATGGCAGCTGATGGAGGTGATGAAAGGACGACCTCCTTGCAACCTGGGTACATTCTGCACCCTCCTTGTTGGAGGGAAGGTCATCAACTCATCTACACGAAACGTGTTCAGTTGACCAGGGCTCATGAAGTGCCCCGCCTTACAAATCTGTCACTGTAGTATATTAACTCTTACACTACACCCACCCCAGCGACAACACAACAACACTACACTCACCACTATGGGTATCCCAAGTAATATCCACCACCACCCCATTGAAAAACCACCCCTTTCCTCACCGGCTTGTCCAGTCACGTCACAGACTCTCTCAGACAGGTCGACCGTCGTTTTCGAAGGTTGTGGGAAGAAGGTCAGTCCAACGACCCGCGGGCGTAAAGTGCTCGGGGTCCGGTCCGGTCACGTCCGCGCGCGTCGCGGCAACGGGCTTGTTGGGGGTCCGTGGAGCGGTGTGGGCTGGAGGGGTTCTGAAGTCTAGGCCGGTGGAGAGCTCCTTACTTCGAATCACAAGGTGTGGTCCACTTCCATGATTGTTGGGGAGAGTGCTTGAAGCTGAACAGAGTGAGGAAGGAGGCTTTTCCCTCGAACTGTGCGCTATTGTATGATGTACCATCTACGCAAGAGAGAGTCTCACTGCTGTTCCGCTGTTGCCCCTTGAACAAGATTCACGCTGATTCATACAGGTGCAGGTTGTCTAACCACCACCGGTGATAGGTACGGGTGAAGCGAGGTACGGTGACCGAAGTACAGAGGCGATTTAATAGAGGGGATACCCCCCCAAGTGAACAACTTGTACCAAACCGACCATAACCGACCGACCCCTTTTTTTTCTAGGGCATCATTGATGGAGAACCACCAAAACTACCAGACTTCGCAGGTCTTTGGGATGGCTCTCTTTGTCTCTCTCTCTCTCTCTCTCTTCCATTGTGGATGCTGTTACCCTTGGTGGTGGAAAGATCAAAGCCGAAACAAGAAGAACATCGCCAAAGGAATTGTTAGCAAAGGCCATGGTTAGGGGGTTCCATTGGTCCATCCCTTGGGTGATGGACCACTTCCTATCACTATACTAACTATACTCCCTGGAATCATCGTGGTGTGGATGGCAAGGCCCCTTAGATGATCATTTTCGTCTACAAACAGGTGGTAAACTCCACTTCCTTGATGATTCCAGGGACTGTACATCTCTCCGATTGGATTTTGGGCACTGGCGCGCTGCCAGGAGTGTGGCACACCCCACCCAGCGTCGGGATGAGCCGATACGTGACCTTCCACGAGCACGCAGTCTATGGGAACTGAGGAAAAAAATGGGGATCGTTTCCAAATTAGGATCGATACCATTCCACGTGTCAATATGTTTCAGCCGGTTCACTGTTCCGTTGTTGGGGTCAAGTATTGGTAGATGAAATATATTCTGACCACCGCAGAGGAAATTGTATGGTGCACTCCATTGCTATAGTAACTCCACAGACCTAATGTAGAGAGCAATTTACACATTGGGGAAGGTGTATGTTTTCAATGGGTCTTGGGATGGTCTTGGAGGAAGCTTAACGTGCACTTTGAGCTCTTTGATGAGCCCCTGAAAGTCATGAGTCAAAAAATATCAAGATCTCATTGATCCTTTTTGTGCTCAGCTGGTACGGCTGGAAGGTTGGATTCTGGGCGCGAATGTTGCCAAGGGCGCCCGCCCCGACTTGAGCAATATTGGCCCAACCAAAACCTAGGAACCTCGGTGGACATACCCCTGGAGCATGTGTGTTGTTTTTAGGAATGGGACATGCATGGACATGCAAAGACATGAATTCCACCAACATCCACCAACCATTTGCATGATAAGAGCAAGGACTAAGGACTCTACTAGGGGCGTCCTGGCCGTACTACTAGGAACAAGAAGCTACTAGTAACTCCTGGCATTACTACTACGAAGATGTTGGATGTTGAGCTCACTGGAGCTGGGGCGCGCGCTCTTGATGAATTCGGCTACTGCTACTGGACGTTTCTTCTCGCACCACCCTTTCGAGCAGCGCCAGTCGGGTAGGCCATGAGACGCAGCCCAACCGGCCCAGAATTGCGCAGCACACGTGTTTTTCCCCTTTCCTTCCTGCAACCGAACAAATGCTTTCCTCACATGCCCCTGGCTTGCCGAGCAGAGCAGAAAAGATGCTTTGCAGGTGCGAGACGCGACATCAAATGTCTCAACAAAGTTCTTCTGAGAAGCTGCGAGTGAACTGAAAATCCACCACATGCAGACCGTGGACCATGCCGTGGACCATGCCGGATGGCCCTTGATAGCCGATAGCCCTGCTGTTGGAGGATTTGGTGTATCAAACAACTTAAACATCTAAATCTTCCAACCGAATCCGCTTCCTTTGCTCTTCTTCTCCATGACGAAGCTTCGCCTGCTCGCTGTTTCCAACTCCGGCTCGACTTGGGGAGACGAAGTCGGGTCACACGAAGGAAGAGCCGAGGACGGTGGGACGGGGGAATGCGGACACTTCGCCAGTGATGACGACGGACGAAGGACGAAGGACTTTGTATTTCCAACTGCCTATGGAGGCGGAGGCGGACGATTCCCCTCTGTTTGGATCTGTTTGGTATACGGATTGTCAAAAACCAGGGTTCATGGCCATACTATCCAGGTAAGCATGAGGACGTTGGAGGGAGGGTCATACACCTTTTCGTGACATCATGATTCGTTATGCATATTTGTCGCTCTTCCTTGGAGGGGGAAGTGTTTGTTTCTCATTCATCCTTCATGGCAAGTTTGCAAAAGGTATAGGTATATATAGGTTCAAAATAGCCCTCGGGCCCTGTTTGTTTGCTAAATACTTTCCCGGGCTCTCCATGGGACTGGCATGTTTACCCAAATTAACCCTGGGTCAACCACCCCAAGGTAGCTAAATATGCCGGTTTCATAGTGTTTGGGCTTGAGAGAGGCCCAAAATGTCCCAAAGGTTGGATGTCTTGAAGATGTTTGCCTCTGATCTAATAAATGCCTTACTATACCTTGCTGTTCGAGCGGCCCCCCCAAATAGATAGTGGCACAGTGTCCAATAATTGGTGGGCGTCCACTTTTCTATAGACCAATTTGGGGGTCTTTATAAATACCTTGCAGCCAAGCGGCCTAGCCACCTAAATCATCGAAATTTTAAAAGGGCACAGCCCAGTCACCGCTATCTCAGTCCGATGACAACAAAACCTGGGTCCCTCACCTGTGAGTTGTTGGCCACCAAACCATGACCTGATTTTGCTTATATAGTATCGTTTCTTTATTTTCACTGTGGCTCAATGCATTTAAAACCCCTTCTGGGGCATATGTTTCTTAGTTTTTTTCTATAGGTTCCTGGACAGCAAATCCAAGGTCACAACCTCCAAATCCTCCGTTGGCTCATCACACCGTGCTCTCCGTCCTCCGTTTCCACGTGATTTCCGCTGAGCCACCGGAAACGCCACCGTTTCCTTGGTCGCTTTCTTTGGGTCCAGGTGGTCCAGGGGTCTCGTTGTACACTGCTTGTTACTACTAGTACGGCACTTGTTACTAGAAGCGATGCACTTGTTACTAGTAGCTTCTTGTTACTACTAGTAAGGCACTTGTTACTACTAGCGTGGCACCTGTTACTACTAGCTCCCAATATAGTATACCCTATGGATCCACTGCCACCTTCTGAGGTACGGTGATTGGAGACTATGAATTGTAGGCGCCAGCCGGGTCCAATTACCTTCTGAGAAGGTATGTGGATCCATCAGGAGTATATTTTGGCAGTGGTTGCAGAGACATGGCACAATCCCCAAGTTTGGTGGTTATTTTTATACGGGCTCCGATATCAAATATATCAAAGATTTGTTGGGGGTTGCGCCAGCTACCCTGAAACCACTGGACTGTACTTGTTACATCTTGTTACCTCTTGTTACTTGTTACTGTTCAACCCTATATGGGAATGACTGCCCCAGCTGACCATTTCTGGAGGGCAAGGGGCTTCCACCATCCAACCATCCAACCTTCGGATGCTTTGTCTCCTTCGTGCGGTGCCAGGAGCTGAACTAGTCCGCCATGGGAAAGGTCCGTGCCGTCAGGCGGAGAACCGCGCCGGATCGTGTGACGGGGTTCATCGTTGTGAAAAAACTACGGCATGCTGTGATGTAACGCGGACCCACGATCTGGGTGATCATGCGGACCAACGTCCTGAAGCTGCGAAACGTCCGGAGTTCGCCGAAAAAGGGGTGGCTTTCCTTCCAACAGGTGGTTTTTGGATGTTTTTGGACACCTCTTAACCTCTAAGAGGTTATTTATAGACACCGCTTGGAAGGTCCTGGCCCTTGAAGACCTAGTAGACGATTCTTGTTGTGGCTGCTGCCACCTGGTTTTTTCTTCATCCGACAGCTGTTGGGGCGGCGTTTCTACGTGGGAGGGGGTGTGAGAGTTAAGAGGAGCGGCCGCGGACTCCTTTTTTTTCCGCGGAGGGAGGTTGAACAAGCATCACTTTGCAGCGAATGCCAAAGCCTTTTTCTAGTCAACCAGTGATAGACTGTGTACAGGTGGCAGGAAGTGCACTGCTCCAGCCAAGGGCGGAAGTGGTTCATTTTGTGAGTTTGGTCCATCAGTAGTTGCAACCCCAGCTGCTGTCCTTTGATCAGCATGTTGTAGCTACTTGCAGTGCTGCTTGCATATCTACACTCTTGCAGGCTAACACATGCAATCACTAGAATCTTGTTAAAGGAAGAATCTCTTCCGATGGTCAGTCTGCAAGACTCTAGATGTACATCGCATCAAACCAGTGACCCCGCAGGGTTTTGGTTTCTGAGAGTTGCAGGCGCAAGCTGGCTCAATTCTTCAATTGGCGCGTGGCTTTGACCGCAAGCTGAGGTGTGACCGTCAAAGAGACAGAGTGAAGCCATAAAGACATCAGCACAGCCATTTTGAGAACCATTGTATATAATATAGGTTGGCCTGGTGTTAAAATTGAAGTTCAGAAACGCCTGCAAAAAAAAAGAACATGCTACAATTCCTGTTGCTGGATCAGATTGAACAATTGCAAATGTTCCGTGTGAACAACTCCAACGGAGTTCATTTTTTGCGGGGGGAGGGGGCCAAACGAACCGGCAAGTGAAACGCAAGCCCATCTCGGAGATTGTGTTTGCGGGCTGATTGGCATCGAAGAAAGCCTGCTGCACTCAGCCGAGGTCCTTTCAAACTTGAAAACTACCTGCACTTGACAAGATTCAACCCAAACATACCCAAACTATCTCAAACTCTTTGCTTTTACTAGGCTTCGACAACAGCAACTGTTTGCCTTCAAATTTGCTTCAGTAGGAAGATCTTCACATGACGAAACGCCAGATCCTTTTATAGAAATCTGGTGAACCACTGAAGTCTCCCGACCAGGTCACCACGCCCCCGCCCAAGGTCAGTGTGACCCTGACCGATGGCCGCGTCCTTGTGGGCGTCCTCATGGCCGTCGATAGGCGCGGAGCGCACGGCGGGGTGGGGTTGTCCAGCGGGGGCGCGGGGGCGCGAGCTGGCGCTGGCGCTGGAATCACATGCTCTTGGGAGTTCGGATTGTTGATTCAAGGACCTTTCCCCCTGTGTACTGTAATGAAATTTGGTATCGGTATAATTTGGTTGTTTAAACTGTGTAACTTTAATCTGCATATTGTAGGCTGTAGGCCCTAGGGTCCCCTGACATAGGGCAACAGCTTTTGTTGGTCTGGAAGAAGGGACAGATTTCAGATCCATCATTGGCTGGTGACCAGTGGTGACGCTTTGAAACAACTTTGACTGTTTATGAGTCCTCATGTTGAAGCAATGTGTCAGCTCGCATGCTGTGATTGGACACCCATGTGGAAATGTCGCCACCCTCACTCGAGCTCAGCTCGGCGGTTCCATAGCATGCAAGCTGCAGAACAACAGGGGCCTATAGGGTTTGTCAAAAAGCTGGTAGAAGTTGTGGCTTTGTCAAATTGTTGCCAGGGGGCCTAGCTACCTTAACCCAGCATGTGCTTCGAGCGCGAGCGAGCCGCTGCCCGACCGGTCGGCAGGCACGTGAACATCGTGCTGTGTAACACCGAGGAGTGGGCTACACACGGCGACACGGCTACACTCCCAAGGTTTTTGGACACCCACATGTCCTGGGTTGCACTGGGAAGGGGACCACAGAGGGAACACATGACATGTGTGTTTTTTTCTCCTTGGGCTGAGTCCAAGGACCCTTCCGCCTCCTAGGCATCTTCCCATGTTTCGTCCACCAGTCTGTGATCAAAGGGTTTTTTGATGGTTTTTGCGGTTTCTTGGACATCCAACTTCTGAAGTGAATCCTGTTTAAGAAGCTGCGGATGGGATGGACTTGGGGGCTGAAGAGAGGAGGAATTGAACGACCAGCTTTGCAAGGGAAAGTGTTCGCGCCTGCGGGTGACTTGGACATGTCCAAGCATATCTAAAAGATCAATGGGCTTGGGCGCCTATGGACTTGTCCAGGTGGTTTGTTTGCCAAAAAGGATGGATCCAAACCAAGTCTTTCCCTAAGAGAGGTGATTGGGAGTTGTACCGGTCTTCTGCACAAAAACCCAACACCCAAGTCCTGGATGAAGGCATTATAGGCTGCAACATTGGCGTTGGGATGCCTTGGCACAGCCGAGACTCAAGGAATCCCTTATCCTGGATTTTGAGGTTGGAGGCCATCGCTACTAGGGTGGAGATACTGCATACCGGGGCATACCGGGCAGCCCGAGATCGTTTCATCCAGATCTTCCCCCAACAAGCACGAGCCCCCCCAACAGGCACGGCGTCCGATTCCCTTCTCCTGGAGGAGTATCGCAAGTACAAAGTCAAGGGCAAGCCAGAAGGAAAGGAATTGAAGAGGCGCCGAGTCCGCGAGTGGGCATGGAAAAGTGCTGTCCAGTTGCCCTTAAACAAATGTAAGTTTGTTGGTGTTTTCTTTGGCCACCAGTAAGGACCGTGCGGGAATCATCAGGACATATCAAGACCATGACCGAAGACTGTCTTTTTTTGGCCATCATGTTCCTCCCATGTTCATTGCGAAGCCGACAACATCTCCCAACTTGAGGCCCCAAGGGTTGCATGATGTTGCTTGCTTCCATTTCGGCCAATTCCATTCCACACGCAATCCCGGCAGAAGGAGTTCCAATGGCTAAAGGTCTAGGCAGCTCGCTTTGCACGCATGGCTGGTCATCCAGCGTAGGGTCAGCGACTGTCCATGGGACCTCTTCTGCAGACTCACCACCCCCGAAGGGCAGGAACAGTCCAATGCCTGGAATAGAGTGATGTTGGTGATGACCCGACCTGACCTTTTTGGGGGGGTGCTCTATTTGTGGATTTTTGCGGATCCTTTAACACCTGCAGCTTCCCCAAACCACTCGTGCTCCAATCAATGCCGCTACTATTCCGTCCTGACCCCCCCTCACCCCACCCTCACCCTCGCCGCGCCTTCACCTCGGGCGAAGGATGTTGGGCTTCATCGTGGTCCGGGGCACGGGGATTTTATACATTCAACCGGAGGAGCTCGGCAAGGAGGAGCGCCACGGACCGGGGTGGCGGTCGCCACTACGGGGTGGCAAAGACTAGTCGACACTTCCAGGGTAGGAGTATATCACATCTGTGTTGACCGAATTGAATCCAGGAGGTGCGGTGTTCTTTTCTTGCGGTATCAATTCGCTTGCATAGATCGTCCCACAGGTACTCGTTGAAGAAGTTTGTAGGATGAAAGAGGCTGTGGGTGCAAAATGAAGTCAAGTTCCATGTGTAACACTCAGGAAATACTATAGGGGCCTCTATATTGGCCTATCTACTTGCGACATCCTGCCATTCTTGACAAAAGGACCCACAAAACGATCACCCTCAGCCATATCCGCCTTCAACAATTGCCAATGGTCGGTCCCAATTCTGGGAGGATTTGGTCGAGACGGACAAGCCACGCAAGAAGGCTCAGGCCCCACAGGCGGCACCCGCCAAGCCAGCGGCACCAAAGCCAGCCGCACCCTCCGCAGGCTGGTCCATCCGGCTGGATGCGACCGGTGCGGGTGAATGCATTGTTGGGGTGGGCCCGACAGGGCGCAGGGATTTTGCTTGGAATTATGTGTGATGACTGAGGTCACAGATTGGCAGTGGCCTGAAAAAAACTCAAGACTGCTTGGTTCACCTATGGTAGGCGCAGATAGGCCATGATAGGCAAAGACTTAGCCTTGATGATTCAAATCTCTGCTTTGGAGCCACACCGGTGATGTGAGGCGCTACCATGAACCCTGCAGCGGCGCTGCTCGCTGGCATGCGCGCGCCCTTGGTGAATCCCTTATTGGCAGCAGGTCTTCGCCCGGGTGGCCTTCCTGGGTTGCCCAGCATGCCAGGCGCGGGAAAACAGAAAACACCGAGCGACCTCACCGGTTTTCCAGGCGAAGAAGAGCAGGTAGCCAAAAGCCTGCTCTTGGAGGTGGCAGCAGGTGTCCGTGGACGGAATTATATATTTGCAATTCTTTCCGTGAACTTTGTGCAATTTTAACACCTCCACCTATGCCAAACATTGCCAAACTGTTGGACTTTTTGGAACTTGCTGCAACTTGTTTAATGGGAAACCTTTGAAGTTTGAACTGTTTCCTACCGTTTCGAAGCCTATATCAGTTGTACAGATGTCTATTTACCTTGGCAGAACTGAGTCGGTTGCGACTTGATGCTGGGACACCCTGAGGTGTTGATGGGGCCTTGTTGAAACAAATTGTCATGAACACACATATAAACCATTTTAATTCACCCCTTTGACACTGTTTGTTTGTTTATCGGTCGGCCAGGGCAGAGCTAGCCACCCACAACCGAGTACTGCAAGTTCTGGACTCGTTCACTCGCACTGCCAGGGATGCCTTCCATGCCTTCCATGGGGATGCCCAACATGGCCATGCCTGGTGCCGGCCGTGGCATGGCAATGCCTGGCATGCCAACCATGCGGCCCATGTGAGCGGGCGTTACGGCCCGTCGCGACACCAACGGTCGTTGAGCGACGGAGCACCGGAGATGGTGACGTTGCAACGGAGGAACAAATGCAGCGCCCACGGTTTTGTGGACACACCACTGTTTTTGGAAGGCCGACGTGAGGATGCAGACGTTGGAAGTTGCCTCAGCCAGGGATCCGCCGGCCTCATGCCATCTCCGATGCTAGACTCTGGCTGTGGGGATTTTGCGGCAGGCGGAGGGATATCAAGAGAGTGGTTCTGCCACCTGAATCGTATGCATACACGATAGTTGGTAGAGAAAGTAGATGGCACAACTCCGGGAAAGAACAGACACAAGAACAACTCTCATGTGTTGGATCTCAAGACTGTGGAGGAATCAGAGCCTTTCTCCATTCTAGGGATCCCTGCAAAAAATTGGGATGTTCATCCACAGCTCACCATGTAACACCTGTCCAAGTTCAACGTGAAGCCTATGCAGGAATTTGGGAGAACAGAGTAGGCTTGACCGCAAAGATTCAATCGTAAGTCCTCAAGACGTCCAGCTATAGCAGATCCGTTGCCGCCGGGAAGGGGGACCTGGTCTGGGACCTGGTCTTCCCCACCTATTTTGGCGGCAGAATTCCGGGCTACGAACGCCCGAACTCGGCAGAGGGCGTCGACCCCCGCGCAGAGCGGAAGAACAAAGACGCCGGTTCCATGGCGACGGCCGACGCGGACGCGCGCTTGGTCGCGACCCGTATACGTTTGAGATCGTTGGGGGATTCGTTTAGGTGTTACTAGATGGTATTTCGGAGAAGCAAGGTTCCCCCCAAGTCCAGTTTGCTCTTGCCTGGGTTAGTGAAGACATGATGCAGTGGTCATTCCTTTTGAGATGACTCGACGTCACGACTATCCCAGTGGCATAGACTTTGAACATTTGCAGTGAGAAGTTGGCTCCAGATTTTGGTGTGCCACCTACAACCTGTGCCATCCAGAGTGGATGTTGAATGATTTTGGCGCACTTGTTTTCTTTGTTTGAACGACTTCATGCGTGAGAGTGACCATCTACAACCCTCATCAGGACCCCTGGCTCTAAGTACAAAGGCCGTTCTTGGTCCAAGTTGGGTATATACCACTTGGAAGAATGATCCGGGGCATCATGAGGGGGATGTATTTCAGCCTCACGGACAGATGTTGGATCCGGAGGTCTTTGACGTCTCCCTGGACTGAAGCTGATTTGATTTCTTTTCGGAAACGGAAGCTCTCCTGCATTGGCGCTAAACACCGCAAGTGACCACTTCTGCTCGTGCAATCGCCAGGTTGGACACATGCAACATCATGCAACATGTCACATCACCTTGACATGGAGGGAATGGGCGTCAGTCACTGTGCCACCGATGTGATTGCATCAACATCCTGCATCATTACATGATAATATTACATATTTTTGTTTCATCTACAACACCATACAACACCTGCCAGCTGAAAGTATGACAACCCCCTTAGCCAATGATTGGGCTGTCCCTCCAGTTCCAACAGTGCCATGTCCACCTTTTGCCCCTCCTGCCACGTGTGGTGAAACCTCACACCGTCGTTTTCCTCGTCTTCCCATCGCCATGTCGCGCCTTCGCGCCAGCAGCGTGCCATCGCAGGTGTGGTTTGGACCAGTGGTGTTGGGTTGAACGCATTGGATGAAAGGCTGATGAAAGGCAAACAACGTGCTGCAGGTGCTTGTGAAGAACTTGCTGGATGCTTTAGTATGCTTTAGTGCACACTCCTGGTGGACAGAGCATGTGTCCAGTGGTTTCAGGACTTGTGTCGTTTCTTTCTTTGGTTCCCGGGTCCATGGTCAGGGCCCATGTTCGACTTGTTCTAGATGGTGAGTACATCTCATCTCAGCGAGAGCTGGCCGAGTTTCAATGCAGGTGTTGTTGAATTATGCGCTCCAAAGGGCCCAGTACCTACGAAACCAGACCTGGTTGGCGGTTTGTCAATGATTCGCCACGCCAAACATACGCAAAGACGTAAGATGGGGCACATCCATGGATATTAAGGCTTCAAATTGTAGCGATTGGTGTTACGTTCCTCTATGCTCCCACCAAAGCCACCAATATATATATATATATATATATTGACCTAAACAACCAGTCCTTCAACCAACCCTGCAAGATCATTTAAAGCAAGCAACTTTCAGTGCGATTGAGATCCTGCTCAGTTTTGACATGACCAGTTCGGTATAAACCAGTGTCCTCCCCTCAGCTCCAGCTTTCGCCCTCATGAGGCCAACTACATGCATGCGCGAGGGGATCTGCAGAACACCTCGGCCCGCTTCCGGGTGCCACAGCTCATCCTGGAGGGGAAGGTCACCGAAGCCGGAACTGAAGGTCAACGTCGACGAGACGGACACAGAATTGGTCTTTGATTTGGTTGGCTCTATTTCCCTTGGGGCAGATCATGGTCTTTCCACTTGGCTTTTTGACATCCAGCGTTGGAATCACAGTAACCTGGTCCATGGATGCCCCATCATCTGGCGGAATCCGAAACCCTCGACGCGTCGAGGTACAGCTGGACAAGCCCAGCCCAGCGACGATCCATGCCGATCCATTGGCACGACTGGGCCTGGAGGCTGGCCACCTGGGGGAAAGGTGAAGTGGTGTGTCGGGAACCTCCAGGTCCAGCTGCAGGGGAAGTTCAATGAGCCTTAAACCCAAAACACCCTTCTCCCCCGCGCGAACGCCTCAGGGGCCAACGCTTGCTATTCGTATTTTGATGTGTTTTGAGAGGTGCTGAGGTGCTTTTGATTGGATGAGCTTGGATGTTTGGATTGAGCATGATTGAGCTAGTAGTAACAATAGTGCATTTTGATGCATTTGGCCAGAGGTCTATTCGGAATTCGTGTGGTCTCAAGAAAAGGATGCAAAGGAAGTTTTGGACGCGTTTTGTCCTTGACCCTTCCAGCAATCCAGTGTCTTAGAGATGTTTAGGGCCCTTGCATGGAAAACACAAAAAACTGTGCTGGGTGTGGTATAGGGTCGTGGGGCTTGGGGAAGCACTAAGTGGACGCTTGCCATGCCAAGCTGCAGGTGAAGAGAGACAACTCCAGATCCAGGTGCATTTCTCACGCCACTGGGGCCGTGTGCCGGTTTGGTCGCTCCCCCGCTACTGTCCAGTCCGGTGGTTTGTTTGGGGCCAGCGGCTAACAGGGGAAACTGAGGTCAGCCCAAGCTACACCCAGCCGTTGGACATGTGAAGCGACACAAATGGACCCAGTCAAGAGCATGTCCACCCAAAAGAGTCAGTTCAGTGAGAGTTCACTGATGAGGCCTTTTTGGAAAGACACGATCTTTGGAACGAGAGATTCATCTCTGTACCGTTTGGGAGCCCCATCACCGGCCCCTAAGAAAACCAAGGATGCTCATTAGTACCAGGCCTACTGGGACTTCTTCTCATGAAAATACGGTGCAACATGATGCAACATCTGGTCAGGCAAGGTGAACAAGATTGAACCAAACTATCCCTGCCGAAGGAACGTACGTTTATTGAAGAATGTGCCGCTTAAGAGACACCAGTCTGCGAGACACCCTCAAAAGAGGCTACGAGACACCAGTTTGCGAGCCAAAACAACAAATAATGTGCGTTTATTCATGGAACAAGATTGAACGCACAGTGCCGTTGATTTCGATGGAAACCGTCCCCGCAGTGCGTTGATGGAAACCGTCCCCGTCAGGCTTGTGATCGAAGATATTGATCAACACCCCCGGCAGAGGCGCTGACCGTCACCTGTTCGGTGGGATGGGGTGGAGCGAACGGGTGTGGCGACCGAAAACCAGTGAACGTGTGTGGTTTCGGGCGAGCACCATCCACCCAGGATAGTGAAGACCACAGCAGTCGTGGTATTGTCGCTCTTGATGCATTTCCCTTGGTTTGACCTCGGCTTTCGGGAATCGCAGGACGCCAGTGGCTCAGTGGAACACCATGGAGGAGCGACAGGCGTTGATTCTACTGAGTGTGGGCCTAGTCATTTTGGATTAAAAGCATGACGTAGCATTGCATTTTCCCGATTTCGGAGGATACTGTGGTCTCCCGACAGTCCTTTTTTGTACCATCTCTATATATTCCCAGATGCTTATCGTGTCAAGCTTTAAAGCAGTTATGTGCTTTGGTTGTTCAAAAAGGTTCTAAAGCGGCATGGGACATGTGATGCGAAAATGTGATGATGCTATAATTTTGGCTGTAGGGACAGCAATTCTGCGAGCGAGCAATCTCGATAGTGGTTGAAAACACTGGTTGCACATGGAAATCACTTCGGAGATCTACCTGACACTGGTGCTGAAATGCCTTCTTCACTGGTTCAAGCTTTCCGTCCAGCCGCTGAAAAGGTTAGGACATGGTAGAGATGGAATCGTTCTAGACACACACACACAAGACGTCCACAAAAGACACCCCCAAACAAAGACAAGCTGATGTAGAACTCTTTGCAGCATCTTTCATCCAACAAGTCTAGGAAAAAAAAGACAAGTGCCAAGATCCAACTTGTCTAGGAACAAGAAGTGCCAAGTGCCAAGAACTGGTTCATGCATGTTCATACTGTTGAGCTGATCTCAGTACTGTATATGAAAATTGCCCCAACTGAAGAAAACATCCAAAAGAAATCCAGCTTGGCCTTTGAGCCCCCACAGCCTCGGATGCTGCCAAGCGTTGTCCCTCTACATGCTGCGCGGGGCGTGGCTTGCATGCCTGGCTTGGGGATGGAGGGATGCTCGGCTGAAATGGCTCGAAATACGTGCAGAGGAGGGCTGCTCCAAGGGCGAAATATTAATTGCTCCATCTTTAAACTGCTTGGCAGGATGTGGTTTGAGAGCGAGGTGGTTCTCTATAGCTTCACTGGGTTTGGTCCAGCTTCCATGTTCAATGGCTTGGTCCAGCTTCCCCACAGGACGATGGAAAGTGACATACCTGTGCGTGAAGAAAACATCAAGAAGCCGCGCTAAAGAGGGGGCATACGGGGCTTCAGTTCTGTTCTGACAACCATGGGTTTGTACATGGCTCCCGTGTGTGCTATGTTCCCACCATTAAATCATATTGATTAGACAAATGGTGTGATTTCGTGCCACTGTGGGAGACCACACACGGAAACCAAGGGTGGTGGCTGTGAACCACCCTCACTCAGAGTGGGTTCAACATACTGCTTCGACTGTCACGCGGACTTTGTGACCAGTGGACTAACTGAGCCACGCTTGTGAAATATCACACTATAATACACTATATCTCTATATATCTCTATTATTTCTATATGGACATGTCACTGTCGCTTTTTAACTCCAGAGTCTACCACTTTGTTTGATGTGAACGCCTTTGACACTGGATCTCCAAGCGCCCGCGCAGCCCGCACACGGGGCAATGTGCAGCATGCAGGCTTGCTTGGCGCAGAGCTTCCTGGACTGCGATGATTCCTGGTCCGACTTCCGCACGCGCTTGGCCTCGAATGCGGAGTGTCTCGGCCGAGCACGGCCGTGTGGAAGGAGTGACCTCGGCTTCGCAAGACTCGCGGAGGAGCGGGGGTTCTGCAATTAACATTGTGTAATGAATCATGGATGTTGGCAGATGTTGGATTCAAGATGCGCACACCAATGTCATGACAGGGACTGCAAGCCGGGCTAATCCTTCAAAAGGCTTCAAACCTCAGAAAAAACATTTGACTTTCTTCATGATAGTTCCTGCTTTCCGAGAAAAAGACATCAATGTGGTCCAGCCGACCGGCGACCAATCTCAGGCGGGGCTTCCCTCGCGATGTGGAGCTGGCGGTGGTGGCACAGGAGACGGTGGATGCGAAGGGTGTTCACATGGTTTAGAGTTTAGACTAGCGACCGTGGCTTGTGACCAAGAACTATCCAAGAATAGGTGCCTTCTATTCACGGTGGTGTGTGGAATGGAGGGAAGATTTGTTTTAATATGGTCTATTGTACAAATGTGTTGCGTTCGACGGAGGGAAGATGAAATTGAATGAACTTGAAGTAATTAAACAATATTAAACAGAACAGTATATATATAACATATTTACTAAAAGAGCACGTGATCCATTCCAACATATTCCAACGTGCAGTCCTAGCTGCCGCAGGGTTGTGCACTTGCAATGTCGTTGGGTGTTTGCTCTTCAGATGGGTGAGCACGCAGAGACAGCGTGCAGTTACAAGTTAGAACAACTGTCTAAGGATTTCATGACCCTTGCAGCTACCGATACAAAGGCCATCCGAAGAGTTTTGCAGACTTTCCTTCAAAACCCACCAAATCTGATGCCTCGAATCTGCCAACAGATCTTGCGCAGGATCTGGTACAGCAGTACGGGGATGATTTGGAGGTGGACCCAGGTGCCAACTACGGCGCCAGCCGAGGCATGCGGACCTTCACGGAGCACTGTAACGCGCCGACTCCAAAAGGCCGCCGGGTGCAGCGGAGGTGCCGTTGGCGGTAGCATGGAAGTGGCCGAAATGGCGACGCTAGAGTTGTTCGGAAACGGTGGAAAATGATGCGACGCCTTTCAACAGGAGGATGTGAGGATATGAGGAGGAAAACTCAACTTGTCAAAAGCCTTAATATAAAGTTCCAAAAGGCTTGTGGCAGCCTGGCAGGCCGGATGGAGAAACACAGGTCTAAGGTGTTGGCTATTTTGGGCCGCTTTTGTAGGAAACGCAGGTCACGGTCATGGCAAAACTGCAGAAGACCAGCAAAGGTTGATCGAAAATGAAGGGTCATTGTGAAGAGGACAATAGGATATGATTGAGATTCACCACGGTATACTACATTCACTATAGCTAGTTGGCCATGCATAAGTGGACCTTGGCGTCGTCATGAGGGGGGAATCAAGATTCCTCCCCATAGGCGTCAAACATGACCCTTTCAATGTCCGAGACGTTGTGTTTGACCTTCGTGTCCGAGACCATCATCCACTATAGCTCCGGCTGCACAGCAAGAATAGCAGCATGCCCGAGACATCCAATGTTCGAGACCTCTATGTCCACCCGAAGGTAAAAATCATGAGCGACTTGCAGGGTTTGTTCACTTGAAGGGTCAAGCAGTCTGACTTGCCTGTGCCACATGTGCAGACGGAAAGAGAGGAGGGACAGGGCAAGGAGCAGATTGTAGATTTGTGACAGTGCCAGGGGAAAACAGTGCCAACGCATTCTTGAACATGGGTGATGCTTTTTGTTTTCAGATGTTTACCGTTATAAATGAATGAATCCACTCAGTCCTGTCATTCGGATCCTCTCTAGGCATTCTGTCGGTTCATCCGATCCGAATCCGCCCAGCAAAAAGCGAGTCGAGCCAGGCGACTTTTGTTTATATGGCCTAGTCTCTGCGCTGTGGATGATTGCACGGCATGACCATCCAGACAGTCAGAACTTGCTGCAACATGCTCCTTGGAGTCATGAGTCACATGTGGCTGGGTGTGTCTCATCTAGGTGCGTTAAAGAAATGTGCATCTAGGGTGAGAAAGCGTATTATTTTATTACAGTGAAATAACATATTGTAATGTATATATATATATGTATACATACACTGTATATGTATGTATTCTTGTGAGCTCAAGATTAGAACAGACATAACAGGACAGTGGTTCGAGAGCTTTTGATTAGAATTTGGCCTTGAAAAGGAGCGTTCAAAGGATGAGCCATACACGCCACGCGTTTGCGCCTTCAACACGCTGGGCCCAGTTTGGCACCAATGAGTCCTGGAACCCTTTTGACCTCCTTTCCTTGCAACTGTGCAAGGATGTGCAAGGACAAGTCTTTCACAGACCATGGCAATATCGAGCACTAGGTGTTTTTGTTGTTGGCAGGGTGAGGATCCTGTCTAACTTGGCGTCACCTTTTGCGACTCACTTCACCAGCATCTTCAAGATGTTAGAAAGACTTGAGCAATTGCTCTCTCAGCCTGATGACTCAGAAATCGATGTTTCTTCTCCTCTCCACGTATCTTTCAGTCTCTCCGCGTTCTCCTTATAGCACTCCGTGAGGCCCAACACTTGCAACTGCTGTGATAGCACTCGGTGACCAAAAGAAGTCTGTGGTTCACCGCGTCGCGGAGCCTCTTCAATGACGCCCTGAGGCCAACTTCTTATTGGGTTCCACCATGAACCATGTCTTGGACTTCACGGAGAGCTCCGCTTGGCCCATTGGCACTTTAGACATCCTGGCGAACCTGGAGCCCTGGAAGACGAAGGTCCGGTTGGAAGGTCCGGTTTGCTGAAGGATCAGGAGCACCAAACAAGGAACGACCAAAGACCAGAACCTAATGGGATTCAAATGAAGCGACACTCCAAAGACTCCATGAGAATCCATGACATAAAGTGTATATGTTGTATTATATATTATGGGTCAGTGTAGGCATATATTCCATGATATTCCAGTCCCATGGTGGTTGGCAAAGGGTTTTCTTAAAGTCACAGTCCTTGGGTCCTTGGCACTCACGACCAAGAGGGCGAGATGAGGGGCTGCGCGAAACCGAAACCATCCAAGACTCCAACACGGTCGTTCATCTTGAGCTGAATGCATACCTGAATAGGAATGTTCATGAATGTCCTTTACTATGGTGATGCCAAAATATCGTCTGGGTAGATGGACTCTTCGGCTGTAATTCCTTCCGTCACCGCCCCTTCGGACCAAGGAGTCCCCAGACCGCTTCCTGTTGCCGGCGGAGATCAAGCAACGAGCTACACGGACCCTGCGCCCCCTGGAGACTTGACACAATTCACCGTGAGCGTCACCGTGAGCGGGTGACCCACATGACCCGCATGACCTGTTCATCACCTGGCTGCTCTGCTCTTGCATTTGAGGCTCCAGGTTGGGGGTTTTCGGCCCCTCACAACCCTGTTTGATTGAGGGCCCGGGTTTGTGGGGTCTGATCACTCCATCCGGATTCCGGACGGTTGATCGGCGTTTTTTTGGGAGTTCCCTTGGAGCCAGTTCCGCTCCCAAGTCCGGACCCGACTTCGCTTGATCCTTCGCCGGGTGGGCATCGGAGCCGGCTCCCTCACGACGTTTTCGCGGGCGTTGTCGGATCGTTTTCACGAAAGCTAGCGAAGCTAGCTGGAGTTACTCTTGCGATAGCAAGGTTTCTTTCGACCGGGTGCAAATCCTAACCCCTGATCTCCCCTCCGCCCCTCTCCCCTCCTCCCCTCTCCCCTCTCCCCTCTCCCCACCCCACCTCCCCTCTCCTCCTCCTTGTCTTCCTCCCACCTTCCCTCCCTCCCTCCCTCCTCCCTCTTCCCAAGTTCGACTCCGTCCTGTCGTCGCTCTTTGGCATGCGGTTAGCATTGCGTATCTTGCGGCCGCACTCGCTCACTCTCACTGTCTCACTGTCTCACTGTCTCACTGTCTCTCTCTCTCTCTCTCATCTCTCTCATCTCTCTCATCTCTCTCATCTCTTTCTCATCTCTCTCTCATCTCTCTCTCCTCTCTCTCTCTCTCTCTCCTCTCTGTCTCTCGTCTTTCCGTCTCTCTTCTCTCTCTTCTCTCGCAGGAGGGACCGGGGCAAAGAGCCACATATAAAGGACTCTTCACCCCTGCCTCCAAAAAGAGCGCCGTGTTTTTTCCTACTTCACTGCCCTCCACTTTCCCATTCTGGAGCGCTAGCTTTCAACCCCCCCTTGGCCTCAAGTCACGTCGGGTTCGTCGGGAGAACCGCTTCTTCTCTATCTTCGGTGGAAACACCGAAGATAGAGTTTTGAAATCAGAACTATGTCAAATGTTTCAACACCGCATCATAGATAGAAGCTTCTCCAGAAGTGTCTCTTCTGCTTCTGTCTTTGCTCACCGAGGCAGTGGTGGAGTCACAGCGGTTACCCGAGCGCTTTGAGCATCCGCCGATCCGTTTGGAGGTTTGGGAGTTGGGCGTCCATGCTTCTCTGAGCGCTGAGGCCGGGCTGATGCTGGGTGCCGAATTGGAATGAGACAGATTGAGTCTGAAACAGTCAGTAAAACAACTATCACTATGTATCACTATGTTAGATACTGTTAGATTAAAGGCCTTTACTAACCATCATCATCCACTGTTACTGGTATAGTTTGGATCCTGGTTTCAACAGGACGATTAACATGGTACCTCCAAAGGGCACCTTTGGAAGACTTGTCTCCTCTACAAACCGGGCGTGGTCTTGGGGTTCCATGTGGGTCTCTTCCAGGGCGTAGAGCAAACGAATTGATGATCAGTCTCAGGTCTCAAGATGGGTGACCTCACAAGCATTACTTGTTTATCATGTTCTCATACACTGTTTCCCCCCTGCACAAGCCAAGGGCTTTTGGCATCCCGAAAGTTGTTTTTCACGCATTCCAACAGGACCTGCTCTTCAATAGTACCAAGTGAGACAAAGTGGGACTGAGCGTTGGACCTACCTAGCCTGGACCAAAAGAAACGGTTGGGCAGCTATATGTGGGTCATCTCGAACATGGGGCATATATGTTCAACATACTTGTATCTCCTGAGAACGTTCCATGTAGTCTTTTTCCTTGACACTTGCATGCATGCCTCCAAACTCCATATGCGTAGCTGCAGTGACAGGTGCCTCCGCTACTGCTTTCCCTTGTCATCGTTCTGCCAGGCGATCCAGATGTTGCTGCGGACCCTGGCCGTGGCGGAGTTCAAGTTCCGGAACATCCTGAAGGATCAGCGGCCTGACTCCGCCATGAAAGTGGCATCGGTTTGGGTGTGGTTGGTGTGGGTGGGCAGAACAAGCGGCCAAATGCACTAAGAAAAACCTCACATCTTGTTCTGACTCTAATCCAAGGATACAGTCCCAGATTCCACTCGGAATGACGGATCAGGGCTTCGCAAGACTGAGCCTTGATTCGTTGGATGGGATGCCAATCCCAAGCATGACCAGTTTCCCATTGTCCCATTGTTCTTGTTTTTGTTGGTTTGTCCAAGATGACTATAGATTGATGTTAGATGCAATGCATTGAAATTCCTTTTGCAGTGTTTTGGTAGATTCTGCAGGCCACGGCAGGCAACTTCAGAGGCTTGTGCTTTGCTACTAAGTTCGCTAAGGTTCCTGGTTCCAAGGCACTATAGGCGATTCAATCTCATTCAACGCGAATGATGCCTTCGAAACCCCAGTTGGGCCAAGTGAGAAGGGTTTTCTCCACTGAATTTGGGCATGGTGGATGGGAGACAGCGGTGTCTCAACATTGTGGCTATAGTACTAGCAGCTATCACAGCCATCTACTCCCCTGCAGAATCATCCAAGACCTGGGATTGCAAGCGCCAGGGCGATCGAAGGATCGATATGAGGTATCCGTTGTGGCTCCCGGAGAAGTGCCAGACCCTCTACTGGCATCCGTACCTTGAATCTTGGAGTCCTTTCTATTCTTTCTGTCGTTCTCTGTGTGTGTGACGGTGCGAATGGGAGAGCAGCCCGTGTTTAGTGGTGGGAGTTCACAAGCTGGTCGGAAGGAAGCATGAAACCCAAGCCTTGCGGCAAGCCTTGCGAGGATATACAGTTTCCATGTGTTTCCCTTGGGTTCTCTTTGTCTCCTTGCTGGAGCCCCTCTTCACAAGCAGAAGAGTCCAGCAGAAGAAGCCGGAAGACCCCGAAACTCAGAGGTTGGGTGGCTCCAAGCTCCGACAGGTTGGACCTGTGGTTTGACCATGAGCAATGCTTGTTCGGTGTTGAAGGAACACCAGAGGCCCAGGTGTTGCACTTGATTTTCTGATATAAAATAAGATCTAAATATGAGTCTTGGAATATATAGGGACAACTCCCAGACCTTTCAGAGTTCCTCCACCTCAGTCAGCGGTGGAACGTTCCACCCAAAAGGCCGTTGTTGGACTGCTCGTGCCTCAGCGCTCCGCTCCAGGCGCTTGGACTGCACTGAGCCCGAGGACGAGATCACCGAGCTCTTTCGGAGCTTCGTGCCGCTGAGCGCCACGTCCAAAGAGCCCATCGTGCCACGGCTGAGGAGGGAGGCGATGAAGGAGTGGAGTAGCAGGTTCCGATCCATATAGATCCATATAGATCCCTTCTCCCCCCCAAAAAGGATGCTTATTGAAGAAATACATGACCATGATTGCGTTTTCCTTCCGCTACAGTTGGAAGAGGACCTCCGAAAAACGCCCCATCCATTCCGGGACACGGTGATGTCATGCAGTTGGCGTGTGATGTCATTCCAAGAGGTGGACCCGGTTCTACTCCCGGCCTCCTCCCGGAGCGACTTCGGGCCGAAGTCATGCGAAAAGACATCGGCGCCGATGGGAAGGAATCCCGAAAAAGTGGCGGTGCCAAAGGCGTCAAAGTGGCCGAACAGGATTGAACATGGTTCAAATGATTGAACGATTTGGTCTGATGGATTCTCGTTCGAATCGTTCGCTTTGCTTCATGATACCTGGTCCATGAGACCTTGGTGAAGAGGAAGCTTTCGACGAAGCGAAAGCAATTGGGCAGCTGAATTTTCATGGGACCTGTCAGTGATCTCCTGCGGAGGTCGCAATCGAATTTTAGATTACTCAATGTGACCCGCGTGTTTCCAATTCAAGTGACTCCTTCTATACTCCAGAACAAGCTAAAGAAATGCCACCCGCATCCACAACTTTAGGCCAATTCTGGGTAGGACTCAGTCCAGGTGCTGTGCAGGAGTAGCCATGCACTTGACACATTCGAAGTTGTAACGTCATCTTCATGTGGGGCAATCCAAGAAAGATCAAGAAAGCAACAATTCTTTACAAGTTGGCTACATTTGGCATTTTGCCAGAGCCCCGGGGCCAAGCAAGAGGTTGTTCATGGACATCCATCAACTTCTATAAGGTCCAATTCTTAGACACTCCAAGCCGGAGGTGACCGCGCATGACGCGGACGACTGCATCGCCGAATCGCCGGACATGCTGCGCTGAGGTCGATATGGATCGCTTCATCCGGGAGTTTGAGAAGGTGGCGGGGCAACGTCGCTGGGCGACGTCGACGCCGCCGGACTTTGCGGCGAGTGACGACGAGTCCGAGGTGCTGTTTCGTAGCTTTCGTCCGTTCGGACAAGTCCGAGGCGTGAGTCACGGGACGAGGGATTTCCATAGGGTTTGGAGTCCATCGTCCCCTCACAAGCACGACAGTGACAGCAACATACAGCAACCTGTCATTGCAGTCACCATTGCTCACTGATGACTCATCAGCTTATCACCAGTACTCATCAAGCACTGAATCACTCTTCTTCACAATTAATTGCTCATCACTGCACATCACCATGAAGCTCGTCACGCCGTGATCTGCCCAACGTCATCCCGCGTCCCGCGTGTCATGTCCCGCGGTCTCAGGCTTGAACTTTGTGGATTTGCTCGTTTGTACGGTGCCCTATTTGTGTTTGCTCTTTGAGCCTGTGGACCTCCCCACGCGCCTTGGAGGAACGGAGAAGCGAGAAGGGTCCCGCTTGCGGAAGGTTGGAAGGTCACATTCCGGAGGGGTCACGGGCCGAAGCAAAGGTTCCCTGCGGGCTGAGAAACTGCTGGGACTTTCAGAAGGATTGTGTGATGTTGTGTGTATACATATATATTTACCAGGCTACCGCCTGCAGCCGCCGACCCCCAAGGGATAGAACCTTAGCGCTAGCCTTGCTCTATGTTAGCCTTAGCCTTAAGCCTTAGCCTTAGCCTTAAGAGTGCAGACCCAACCCAGCACCACCAAAGCAGGTACCCAAAAAGTCGACTTTTTGGGTACCATCGGACGTCAGCTCTTGCATGAACCCCGATCATTGCCCAAGAATTTAGACCCAACCCTTCACCACCAAAGCAGGTACCCAAAAAGTCGACTTTTTGGGTACCTCCCAGGCTTACCAATTTAGACCCAACCCAGCACCACCAAAGCAGGTACCCAAAAAGACAAAGCCTAGAGCATTCCTAGGAAAATGCCAGAAAAGCCTTTGAAAATTTCATAAACCAACAGAAAACGTGACAAAATCTACGAAAAAGCAAGGGCATTGGCCGGGACCATGCCGCGACCAGCCCGGGATTCGAGCCCAGGACCATTTTGGAC